ATCATTGAGAGTGAGCTTACATTGTGTTCTCATCCATATTAGAGAACAAATCAATTGTTGTATTGTGCTTATTGTGAGATTGTAAAGTTTTTGGTTAGCTAGAAAGCTGAATGTGTAGTGGAGATCTCCTCGAGGTGAGGAGCGGGGACGTAGGTCGTGGGGACCGAACTCCGTGAATGAAATTGTGAGGTGTAAATGTTATTCGGGTGATCGTAGAAAACCCGATTGTGTTAGTGGATTTCTCCCCAGGAGTGGGGAGCGGAGACGTAGGACGGAAGGTCCAAACTCTGTGATCATATCGTGTGTTTGAGTTTGCTTTGGCACACTTACTCTTATGTTTATGTTTCTTGTCACCATTGTTCATTGCTCATTATTTATATCATCCAATATCTTGTTTATTTTATTTACCCTTATGTATATCACTTATCCTAGCTCACATATCTTGTTGTATTTCATACTTGCTAGGATAACTTGTTAATTAGTTTTAATTGGCATAAAATCGAATTAGATTAGCATAAGACCCTAATCACCCTCCCCCTTCTAGGGTCTAACATGGGACTGGTTCTTGACGGACATGAATATTAAATCCATGTTGATTTTTCTAAACTTGGCAGACCACACCGTGTTCTGGAGAAGAAACATGAGGGTCACTTCCGATTTTATGAACACCGGACTGAGCCATGCATTTAGTTGATGAAACAGACCCCTACGGGCCGTGTTTTGGTTGAACGCACCCCTAGGGTGTGCGTTTGATTGACGAAACAGACCCTTGAGGGTTATGTTTTGGTTGAACGCACTTTGAGGTGTGCGTTTGATTACTGAAACAAACCCCTGAGGGTCATGTTTTGGTTGAACGCATACCTGGGGTGTGCGTTTGATTGCTGAAATAGACCCCTGAGGGTCATGTTTTGGTTGAACGTACACCTAGGGTGTGCGTTTATCTTTAGAAACGCTTTCCTGATGGCTGTGTTTTGGATAAACAACGCGCCGCTGAGGGTCGTGTTTAAGTTGTATCACGCGGTGCTCGTAGTTGGGCTCATTACCATGAAGTGTGCGTTCTGAAGTAGAGACACAGCACTCAGGTAGAGACTCAGAAACACGACCTTCGCATTGGTCAATGGATCAGCTATTTCATAGATGTGCTCGTCGTATAGATCTCCTCCTCCGTCGAGCGATGTTCTTCTTGGCTTGTTTCAAAGCCTTGGCGGTGATGCCGTAGCGTTGGTTGGATTTTCCTCTGCCACAGGCCTTTTATGACCTGTTACACGCCATGTTGACGCGGATGTGGAGCTTTTAACTCATTAAACGAGTTTGATAGAGTCGGAGCCCATTCCTTCGGAGGAGGGGCTATTTAAGCAACTTTGGCCAAAGGAGAGGACTTTCTTCAGCACTATAGCAACGGTTAGAGTTTGGATCTCTTTAGAGATCTTGAGGACATTGTGCCTAACCTTAGGGCTAAGCGATCTATAGGAAAGAGCTTCCTCTACTTGGCTTGATCGAACTCCACGACAAGAGTCTTGACCGTTGTTCCAGTGAGGTTGACGTTAGATTGCGCCACCACTTCTTCGTTTGTGAACCTCGTCCCCAGCAAAGTCGCCATCTTTTGTTTGTTAAAAAATTTGTAATAAGAAAATAAAAGAATTGAATGTTTTATTCTCTCTCAATCTCAATTACAATTTGACTTTCCTGATTAAAAAGAGAAGAAGATCGACGGAGATCCTCTCCTTTGTTTAAGTCTGGGTCCTTCACGGTGGCGATAGAGTGCCTCTCTCGAATGCTCGCATCGAGTTTGCTCTCCATTAACAATCTGAACATCTCACTTTGCTGGAACAATTAACTTGCGTGGCGAGTTTAAAACAAAAGAACTCTTAACGAGTTTATGAACTCAGGATGAGTTGGAACTCTGTGAAAAGAGTTGTTTGAACCGAAAATTCGATTAATTGCCAAGTGTTAAAACTCTCTATAGCTAAAAAGCTATTTGGAGATCTCAAAACTGAACTTCAAGCAGAAAACCCGGCTCCAGATCCTCCGAATTTGATAGCCCTCCCAAAAAAGATCTTCCTAATTCGATGATGATTCCCCTTCAAAAGATCTGATCTCCTCCCTTGAACTGAATTGATTTTCAGTTATTATAGAGGATTAAGGGGTGTAACTACCCCTTAAATCGCTCCTAAGTAGAGTGTAACCACCCCTAAATCGTGGAAAACGGTTTTGGAATCGTTCAGCTCATGTTGAATGAGTCAAACAACGCCCATTTTAGCATTCTGGATGTTAACTCCGCATCTCAGAATTGAGACGTGGAGTTCGTTTTGGGCTGAAAACTGAACGCAGGGGTCGCCTGCGTTTTGAAAGCTGAACGCAAAGGTTAACTCTGCGTTTAGAAGTGGTTGTTGACTTGTGACATCCTCTATTGAAGCGTCTGGAATGATCATTATTTTGTAATCCTTGCTTTAGCTATTTAGGGGTGCGAGAGCCATCAGATTGTAACTCTCATGGTTGATTGTGAAGACCGCTAAATAGAGTTTTCATTAGTCGTCGAAAGGATCATTGAATTATAACTCCTCTCGATCTACGTGAAAAGTACTTCATTTGCAGCTTTCGTGAAAGTTGTTTGATTGTAACTTTAATTGTCGAAATATTGATTAAAGCTTAATACAGATCAGCTATCTGTTGTAATTTTTAGACAACCTACAGTAGGTTGGAAATGTTAAATGCAAGGGGGTATATACACGGTCATAAGACAAACCCCAAAAACCAAGAAAACCAAGCAAAAAGATAAAAAAATCGAAAATTCAGCATTCTGGAAAATTAGTCGTTATAGTGTTACGAGTCGACTCGTACTATTCATGGTCGACTCAGAAACTAGCCGTTAAAGGCTGCACAACAGTTATAGGTCGACTCATAAATTCATGAGCCGATTCATGCTCATGGGTCAACTCGCTACAGTTACGAGTCGACTCATCAGACTAAAAATGCTAACTGCACAACACTTCTTGAGTCGACTCGCTACAGTTATGAGTTGACTCATAACATTCACACAACATGATATGAACAATAAAAACCAACTTTAAACTTCGTTTTAAAATATCAAATAAATTCTAAAAAATGTAAAACTTTTGGAAAATGTTTATAAACATGATAATGAACATGTTACAATTTTTTTTTTCAATTTGCACTTTCCAATTGTGAAAACTCATCATTTTGCAAAATAGTCCAAAAACATGAAAACTTAACAACACATGTTTTTGATAAACAAACTTGCATATTCATTTTGAATGGATTAATGGACTTAGGAAAAGATATAAAATGATGTAGTTAAGTCTTTAATCCATAAACACATAATTTCGCAAATAAACATGATTTCTTTGATTTGTTAAAGCTTGATATTGATGAAATCATTGTAAGCATGTATAAACATGAAACAATTTGTGTAAATATAACTATATCCATTTGTTTCATATTTATGTGGCTAAACAATTATTTACCAAAAACAAAAATAATAAATATGAAACGTGTATGCATATAACTATTAGTTTAGTATTTATATAATTCAAACTTGAAAACGAAAACAATAAAAACAAAAGCAATGTGTGTGTATAGTTTGAGCTCTAAGTATCAACACACAAAGTATAAACTTATACTACTATACCCAAGCTATAGATCTTCAATGAGCTCGACTTGGTTGCGGATGAAGCTTGAACTTGAATCTTCATTTAAATTGTGCATAGCTTCAATCCTATTTCCGCCAACCCCCATTTGAATATCATCGTTTAGCTTAATTCATCCAACCTCCAACGTCGATGTTTATCTAGAATACCTAATGAGCAAACTCAAACACTAGACAAATGATGTTAGGAATTGTTTGTAAATCATCATCAAAACAAAGATACTAACAATTTCTAATTTTAAATATACAATAATTAAATTAAATATATTAAAACTTAGAGGAACGGTGGTTCAAAATGCAATATTAAAAAAAAAGTCTGTGCGTTGCACGGGGTATACGCTAGTCCCCCGTTTGGTCCTGATCCTCGCCGTTCCACGAGCAATCTGGATCCCGGTCTCAACGAAATGAAGACCGTCCATTTCCCATCGGAACTCCAAAGTTTTTAAGGGCCCGTTTGGTTGGTTTCCTAAAATCAAAGAAAAGGAAATCGGTACAAGGAAATCAATAAAATAATATTTTTATCCATTTCCATCCCTAAAACTCACCCATAACATCCAATAAAATATTATTTTTATCATCCAACTCATCTCATTTCATCTCATTTCTTACCTTTAAAAATAAACCAAACATAAGAAATGTGTCACATCATCCAACTCATCACATCTCATCTTATCTCATTTATAAAAATCACACACATCATCCAATAATATTGTGACAACTCATCTCATCTCATTAAACCTTCCTTTCCATCCATTTCCTCAAAAAAAAAACAAGAAATTGATTTCCTTAAGTATGTGTCACATCATCCAATAATATACCTCCAACTCATCTCATCTCATCTATTTTCTTATTTTTAAAAACGAACCAAACATAAACAACCTCAAAACATCATCCAATAATATACCTCCAATTCATTTCCTTATTTTTTTTAACCAACCAAACAACCTCAAAACAATTTTTTAAAAAAAATCACTCACATCATCCAATAATAAGGTGACAACTCATCTCATCTCATCTCCTATTTTATAAATTCCTTCTTTTTTAAACCAACCAAACAACCTCAAAACAATTATTTTAGGAAATAGGTTTCCTATTCTTTGATTTCCCATTCTTTTTTTCGAAACGAACAGCCCTTAAAACTCAACACACGCGGCGGTCTCAACGAAATCAAGACCGTCCATTTCCCCTCCGAACTCCAAAGTTTTTAAAACTCAACACACGTGGCAGCCTGAGCTGTCACCAGCGCATCCAACTGCCACTCATTAGTTATAGATTGCTGTTGGAGTCCGTGTTTCGAGTCCGATATATATTAAAAAACCAAATGAAAATATATAATTGAAAAAAGAAGACCCTTTTCTTGTTTTGCTGTATTTATTTTTTTCAGTTCGCTTCTAGGAGAGAATTCCCTTGGAATTTTTTCCTCGAAATTGATCGCCATTTTATCTCAGTTCTTCTGTAAGTGTCGATCTCTCTGTTTGTTTTGTAGTTTATTTGGAATTTTTAAGTTATTAATTTGTTGAGGATAGTGCACTGTTGAGCTTAGGGTTTTGTAACACCGTAAGATGATGGCTTTTTTATTTTCTTTTGCAAAATTTCTTTCACATTTTCCTGCAATTTTGGGTTCCTTTGGATGCTCCTTCGAGATCATGTTTAGTACGTTATTTTCTGAAAATTTCTTTATGTTGGCTCGTAAAAGTTCCCAATTTTCTATGCCTTTTTCAGTTAGGCTTCTACTTTTGCTTAAAATTCTTTAGATTTTTGCAATTTATGTTTTATATTTACATTATACCAAGAAGATCACTTTGATAATGTTTGCAATATTGTAGCTTGAGAATTCCTTTTTGCTGTGTATTTTTGTGACGTTGTCGTCGATAAAATTGCAGCGATGGCTATTTGAATAACGATTCTGTTTTGTTTCGCATTGTAATTCAAATTTTGAGTTTTGGTTTTATATAATTGAGCTTTTCTTTGTCAATAAGCTGCTCTTTTTTCACCATTATTTTGGTTCAAATATATTCAAACTTCTATTATGTGTTTAAGAACAAATTAATCTTCTGCTCCTTTCAGAGGGAAATGTTATTGTCTTGTTAGATTTGGTTGATACCATTTTTTTATTATTATTTTAGGTCCTTGAGGAATGTCTGAACCTGAATCAAAAGCAGAACCTGATGCAAATACAACCGCAAATGGGTCATTTTCAACCAATGACCCCATTCATAATGTTGCCAAGACCATTTCTCCAAAGAAAGATAAAGAATTAAATGGCAGGGTGGAAATTGTGGATGGAGAAAAAGAACAGAAAGAAGAGAAGAAGGATGCTGATGTGGAGATGACAGAGGCTGATAATGCAAATGTGACCAAAGCGAAGGATTCGAGAATGGATGAAGTGGATGATTCAATTAAGAAAGATGCTGAGGACACGGGAAAAGAAGTTGATGAAATGACAGAGGACGGAGTTGATGATAAGAAAGAGAGAGAACCCGAGGATGTGAAAAAAAAAGAAGCTGAGGATGTGAAAAAGGAAGAAGCTGACAATATGAAAAATGAGGAAGTAGAGACTAAGAAAAAGGAGGAGGCTGACAATACGAAAAAGGAGGGAGACAAAGACACAAGTGAAGAGGAAGTAGACACTACCAAAGAAAAGGATACAGAAAAGAATGAAGGTGAAGATACAAGAAAGACGGATGCCGAGGACACTAAAATGGAGGAAGTTGAAGAGACTAAAAAAGAAGTTGAAGGCACTAAACCGGAGGAAGGCACACCTGCGAAGGAGGGAGCCACTGCTATGAAAGAGGAATCCACAACTATGGAAAAGAGGCATGCCAGAGATGGGAAGGAGGGAGCTGAAGATATGAAGGAGGGAGCTGATGATAAAGAAAAGTTGGATGCTGAGGATATGAAAAAGGAGGCGGAGAATATGAAAAAGGAGGAAGTTGTCAGCGTACAAGATGTTAAGATGGGAGACAGAGGAGTGGAAGATAAAACAATGGAGGAACATAAGGATGTGATGAAAGAAAATAATAATGTACATGCGGAGAAGAAAGTGGTGGAGAGTAAGGTGGCTGAAGAAGACACACAAGAGTCAAAGAGGAAACCTATGCGAGGGAAAAAAGTTAGTGAGAAGGGAGAAACAAATGAGAAGAAACAAAGTGCGAAAAAGCCCAAGGAAGTTAGCACTCCTGTGGTTTCCTCTATTGAGCGTCCTGTACGTGAGAGGAAATCAGTGGAAAGATTAGTTGAAGCTCTGGACAATGAATCAATTAAACCACTTGTTATCGAAAAAGTGAGATTATGCATATGTTCTTTTAACGAATAAACATAATTTATTCTATAATTATTAATCATGTTCTATTTATTTTTCTAGGGCCGTGGAACTCCATTGAAGGATATACCAAATGGTATGGTGTTTTACTCAGTATGAGTAGGGTGGCTTTGTCACAGTGTGGCGTAGGGTGGCTTTGTCACACAGTGTGGCGGATTAATTTGTGATGTATTTTTTTATTTTGACATCACAAATTCTCCTTTACCAAAAGTTCATATTTCTACTGGATTCTTTATATTTGCCTTTGTAGCTTGATGCATTTCTTATACCACTCCTTTTATCCTGCCTTAGACTTTCACAGTTTTCCCCTTCTGAATGAAAATAATTATTTGATGTCAAGTGTCCCTGTGCAACATAATGTACCAAACTGGCTACTTTGTGTTTGGAATGTTACTGAATTAAGAAATTCTTGGTACTTTTGATGCTAGAGCTTAAACTTTTAAGTCACATATTTTTTGTTGATGCAAGTCATGTAATTTGCCTAAGATACCATCATATCTTATTTATGACAGAAGCATGAGATTATTAAAGTTTATATTAAAAGCATGTGTTTAGTTGGCGCAATTACTTTCATTTGACATGTCTTCATTCATTCTCTGGTTTTTCTGTGGTTGCATTCAAGAAGTTCTTCCTTTTATTGAGTTATTTTAGGTCCATAAATTTATTGGGGGAATTTCTTATTTATTCTTTCAACTAAAGCCTCTTTTCCTCCAGACCTTCCTCCATAACTCAAAACTAGAGGTGAATCTTAATACTCATATCTGAGCATTGAAGATCACACTATTTAACTGATATCTAGCTTATTCTATATAAGGTAGATACCATCTGATTATAATTTCTTTCTTCAAACATAAAATTTATATAATGAATTGCAAATGTGGTTCTTGGCTTTACCTTTGTTATGCATGTACATTAATTGTTATTTCAATCTCTGTTTGTTTTGTTCTTCTTGTTGCTTCATTTTGTATGACAACTTTTTTAGTTGTATATATATTAATGGTGGTGTGTTCTTTCAATCTTCATTCCAGTGGCATACAAAGTAGGAAAGAAGAAGCCAGCTGAGCTTAGGTTGCTTCATCAAACACTTTTTGGAAGAGTTGGAAAGGTGAATCAATTATAGAGAATTTTATTATCTCTATCATATATTTTCTGGATGTTTATTCATTTTTAAAGGACATGAGTGAATTTGAATCTATAAAATGTTTATCATCATTGGATAAATAACAATCTGTTTCGTGAATGTTGGTATCTATTAGAGAATGTACTTCATATCAATGTTGAAAATAATGATAACATGTATAACATCTATTCTTTATCTCACCCGACCCAAAAGTAACCATTCTGGTACCTATTAGGTGCTTTGTTAGGTACAGAGCTCTTTGTAAAATTAGTAGAGCAGGGAAAGATCTTGTGTTGCAGGGTTCACTTTTCATCTGTAGAACAACCCTTCCCAGAGCACCTTTCTACCCAGAGCATCATGGAACTAGGAGATCACTCCAAAGATGCCCTTGGCATCAAGGGTTAGAGACCGACTATAAACCTTGTTCAGTAAGTGGAATGCATTAATTGTCTACTCTCCAGTTGGCCAGTAAGTTCGGAGAAGGGACAATAACTTGTTCTTAGAATAAAATCGGCATTCTTAATACAAAAAACATAATGATCTGCCTCAAAAGTCATGTAGTGTAGCAGAACATAGATTACTTGTTTTGCCACTATTTTAATTTAAAACTAATACAAAAATATCAATAATAATTATAATCAATTGGAAAATAGATATCAAATATTAGAAATTCGCATTTCTTGATAAAAATATAAAATTTAATTCTAGACATATTAATTTAGTAACAGGTGTCATTATAAATGTGAAAATATATTATCACAAATTTACATATCTCATTCCAAAATTTCACACTCACTGCAATCTGCATAAATCTTAAGTTACACGATCACAAGTATATCATGACTTTGAAAAAAAGCTATCAAGCTTAACATCAATTTAAGAGTGAACATTGAAGTACGTTAAGTCTTAAACAAAGCAAAAGAAAAATACTTTCAAGTCTACTATAAATTATATTGATGTAGGTGAGTTATAATTGAAATAGCGTGTGTTATACTGAGATAGTGTACTCTATTTCGTAATAACAGAGTAACGATGTATTTGTGTTATTTTAAATGCTACTTAACATTAAGGTTTATTAAGTTACATAGGGCAAAAAAACAAGTTATGTAATGCGTTTATTTCAACACTGCTTCACATGATCCCATGTTGGGCTGCTTTTAGTACTGATGTTCATCCTTTAGGCTTGTTTATCAAAACAAGGTATCTTAGGAGCAAAGGGAAACTTTATGTACCTGTTGCTATGTTCACTCCAGTTGGGTATAATTTAACAATATATTTCCAAACAAATAACTGCTAGTGGCTACAGATGGAAGTAAACTATCTTATTATCAAGTTGAGTTAACTCCCACATTGCTTTGAGGGCGAAGAGTATTGAAGGCTTCGGAGTTTCTTAAGAAGTGGGAGTATAAAATACAAGTTAAGTTTATTTAATGGTAATACGGTGCTGAGGGTTTGAAAGGTTCTCCAAAATGGTTGGCATCCTAGATCTCAATTCTCAGATTGGAACAATGATGTTCTGTTACCAACAACAACAACAACAACAATGAAGCCTTTGTCCCAAATGTTTGGGGTTGGCTACATAAATCCTATTTTTCCATTCCGTTATTATGGGCCATCTCCTCTGATTTTCTGTTACCAAGTAAACCGCAAACTTCCCACCCCTTCTATAATTCAATATAAATGACAATGTTCGTGAACTAAGTTTACGAGACGGTAATTGATGGAAGTTTGTGTTTCACAATACAATTCTCTTCTGTCACGGTTGCATCGTTAAGGTATATAACCTTTGGTTATATATAATACATATATTGGTCACTTGGATGGGAAAAGCTTATTTTAGGTTACCCAGTCCATACTACAAGTTTGGCTTTGTAACGATGACACCTATAATCCCTGTGATAGTTAGAATGTGTTGTACACAACAGAGGTGATGCCAAGTATTTTAGAATTAATAAAAAAATGGAAAAAGCAAGTAGTTGCTTTCAGTGAAAGCAATTGATATAGTGCATTTTCAGCTCTATTTCATATGATTTATGATCTCTTAGCTGATGGCACTAGGACTTGGCGAGTGAGTGGGAAACCTAAGTATTAGTACTTTCTCTTGATTGTCTCATTATTGAACATTGTTCATTATACAGATGTGTATAGGAAGTTTATCTGGCAGATAATGTGCATTTGTAAGGAAAAAAAACTGGAGAAAGTGAAAAATATGAAGGATCTTTAATCCTAATATAATATATTAAATAGCCCATTTCACTTGCCTAATCCTAGTTGGGAAGGAAAATGAGCACCATTCAATCCATTGCTTTCCTAAAGCCCAAACTAAGAAATGGAAATGCCAATCACTTTTTTCTAGCTTTCCATTTCCTTTTACTTGGCGGTTGCCACTTTCTGCTTGCCAATTCTCAAATGAATTTACATCTTTATTTTAATGGTCTTTGAGCTTTAAGTTTTCTTCTGATATTTTTTTGAAAGTTGTAACCATGGATTAAAAAAAAAACTTAGAACCATTTTAACCTTGATTCATCATTGATGAACATGTTAGGAACATTTGTAACAGCAAAATTTAGCAAGTAGCACGTGCTAGGTTACATATGCAGAAATCTTCATTAACTGGGGACCTCCTTAAATGATATCATGTTACCCACACTGTGTTTGATGTTCGCATTGACAGTGTTTGATGGGTGTCTAGATTTTGGAGGGATGATGAATAGAGAGTAGTAGGATTTATTGTCTCATACTGAGAAGAGACTCGAAGGAGCTTAACTGTCTTGAGGGTGGGTGTGATTGATAGATGGAGTTCTATACATTTGAGGTGGACTATGACGAAGAAGATAATTATGGGTACATTTCAGTGTGTATCCAGCTTATTGTGAGGAATACTAACACTCGAGGCCTGAGTATGGTTTTATTGTGGAAGTTTCTTGCCACTTCTTGTAAGTGCTCAAATTTTCTACAGTGCTTGATGTATAATTAATTTTAGGGTTTGTAAGCTTTAAACTGTTTATTGGCACTGGTTTATTCTAGATGTGTACTTAGAAAGCCTAAATGTACATGCAATATTTAGAGTGAGAGAAGCTGATTTATGATAATTGTACGCTTTTCTTTCTTTATTTATTTTTTGGTGTTCTAGATAAGCTAGGTGTCACTCATATAGATGCATTTGGCTATGAGATATTAGAGTTATGCAACTTTAAGTTGCTATACACATAGCTGGAATTGTATCCTTTCAGTCCAGATATAACTTGAAGTCAGAATTACAATAAAGTCTTTTGATATCTTCAGATTTGTTATTAATGTAGTTTTTTTAATTAATCTTTTACTTTTTCTTAACTTGAAATTTCTCACTACTAGTTCATCATTGTTGTCAAGGCATGAGCGACAGGGCACCCCAGTGCCTCATTTTCACATTTTTTTAGACAAGATTTGAGCAAAATGCGTTTAACAATAATGTACCAGAAAGATGCATACTGAAATGATGTAGCGACGAAGACACCACTCTTTATTAGCAAGTAACATAATTCCTTTGCCCTCAGCTTCTCCTCTGCCAAAAATCTTGTTCCTTCATGTTTCTTACATTGTTCCACTTCTTTTACTGTTCAGTAGTTGCATTTACTTCTGCTACCAGTTAGCCCACTGGATGTGAAAGTTGCGTAGGAAGAATTCTGAGAAAAGAATATCAAGAAGACAAAGGAAAAAGATGACCCAGAAGATAAGAAATGGCTGAGAAGAAGGTGAAGACGAAGAAGAGACATAGGTAGTAGTTTGTAATGTTAAAGATGCTATCGAGGTGTTTATAAGTAGATATTTCTGTATAAGGCATTTGTCCATAAAGTGGATGAAGTCTAGTGTATTTATTTGTTCTCAGAGAAGAGCTTGGGTGAGAAGAAGGGTAGAACCAAGAAGAAAGGAAGTGGAAGAAATGATTGAGAAGGTGAAGACCAAGAAGTGACATAAGTAGTGGTTTGTATCATTAAACATGTTATCAAGGTGTTTATAAGTAGATATTTCTGTATAGGCATTTGTCCATAAGGTGGATGAAGTCCAGTGTATTTATTTGTTCTCAGAGAAGAGCTGGGGTGAGAAGAAGAGGAAAACCAAGAAGAAAGGAAGTAGAAGGCATTGGAAGAATTGAATGACAATAATAAGGAGAATAAAGAAGACTAAGTAGAGAATAAGTAGAACACAGAGGAAAAATACTTAGAAAAGAATATGAAGTAGACATGAAAAAGATGACTGATAAGAGAACAAATGATTGAGAAGAGGGTGAAGACCGAGAATTGTCAGAGGTAGCCTTTTATATAGTTTAGCACATTATCAAGGTGTTCATAAGTAGATATTCTTTATAAAACATTTGTCCATAGAGTAGGTTAATGTCTAGTGTGTTTAGTTCTTGAATTTTGGTTAATACCCAAAGACATGAGCTTCCAGTTTATACCTGCAACCAGTATATGCCTGAAACCATTTAGGCACCCGTGCCTTGTGCCTTGTGTACTCACTTGAGAGTTTCTGTGACACTATGCAATTTCATGCAGCACCACAAGGTCGAATGAGTCACACGGACATTGGTCCCTTGCCTCAGGCGCATGCAAATTCTATTGACACCCTCATTACATTGTAGTGCTTGGGTCTTTTAATTATAATTAATTCCTGAACTATTTTTTCCTTGGTTATTTTAGATTAGATATTAATTTGATATGGTTTTATTCTATTCTCACCCCCTATTTATATGGAGATTTGATATTTCTTTTCTTTTGCAGGCGATTAATTATAAAACTCACATTCTCCAATTCTCTGGGTTTGTTTGGCATGAGAGTGAGGTAAAGGCCTTTTTTTCCAGGCCCTAAGTAAACTGAAAGCATTCTATACTTTGGAGATCCTTATTACATTTCTTATGTCACTATATTTGCACACCTCATGTATTTTGTTGATTCCAGAAATAATTAGCAACTAACTTGTTTGCAGGACAAACAAAAGACCAAAGTAAAGGAAAAACTTGATAAATATGTGAAAGATACATTACTAGATTTCTGTGATTTGTTTGATATACCCGTGTTGAAAGCCAAGTCTAACGCAAGGAAGGTTTGCTGATTTAAATTCTCTTACATTTACCTGAATATTTTACACCTGGATTTGGTGGTTTTGCAAGTTTATGTTTATGCCTTATAGGTTGGAATGTGCTAGCAGGAGGAGCTAGTTGCAATGTTACTGGACTTTATGGTGGCACCTCATGCTACAACGGATGTTATACTTTCTGAGAAAGAGCAGGTTTACCTTCAAGGATAAAAATCTTTTTTCCAAGATGAGATTATACATCATGAAGTATGACTTATCATCATTTGTACCTTCAATTATACCAGTCAGCGAAATCCAAGAAAAGGAAGAGAGGAGCTAAGGAGAGTGGATCAAAAATCTCTGGAGGATTTTTGGGAAAGCAGTCAAAGAAGGTTTGATTTTCAACTTAAAAGTCATATTCAGTTGGCATTTTATATCTTTCTTTTCTATCTTTGTACTCTTATATTGTCTGACCTATTATTCAAATAATGTTCTGCGTACATACCTCGTTTGTACCCTCTTTCCAATTTGCCTCGTTGGTCACATTTCATGCCCTTCCTTTGTATATAGTTCTTCAGATAGCATCTCTTCACCATTTTCTTTGCTTGACTATAGGTAGACTGTGGATTGTAAATTTCTCAGGCACTCTCAGCGATCTTTATACGAGGAAAGTTAGTTGATAGGTCAATAGAGTTTATATAAAGCATATTTTAGATCGCGCACTTTGGGTATAGTGGAGTGTTCTGACATCCATTACACTGCAAGTGCACTTTATTGCATGAACTTACTGCAGGACAATAAGATGGAATGCCCCTAAACTGACCTACCTTTTAGATTTTGCATGAAGTTCCCCTATGTAATCAATTTAAATGACCGCTGGTTAAAAAAAGTTGATCTTTTGGTAAAACCTTATTTCAGCATTTATCTTGCATAATCATGATCACTTTTTTGACGGTAAGGGGCATATATGATGATGATGAAGACAATAATACTTGCGGAAGGGCCTATTGATTTATTTATTCAAGTGTGTACTTGTTGAATCACCTAAACATGTAGTAGCTCTAATACTGCAGGAAACTAAGAGCACAGATACACCAAGAACAAAAGGGACTACACATGACAGAAACGAGGAAGAAGAAGATGATGATGAAAATGGTGTTCCTTCTGAGGATGATTCATCTGAAAATTCTGAGAGCAAGGAGAAAGAATTTGACACTGGAAAAACACCAGAAGATGACAAGGACGATCGTGAATCTGGAAAGGGAAGGCAGGAGATGAAATCTCCAAAAAAGGGTGGCTCTTCCAGTACAAAGAAGCTGAAGGTGTCTGATACTTCAAAAGAGATTTCTTCTCCCACAACTGCAAAGAGTCCTAATAGCCCATCATCTTCCAAACAGCCAAAAAATTCCAAACACTCAAAAGACAGGAATAAAACCAATGACAAAACAAAAACTGCTTCTAAGACAGTCCTAAGGAAGCACAAAGAGGTTGAGCGACCTGCAAAGAAAGCAGTTACTTCTAAAACAGATCCAAAGGAGAAGGCATCAGGTATGCCTTCAAATCGTATGATATTTTTTTATATGTCGAAAGGAAAAGGTAGCGCCTTAATAATATCCAGCAATGCATTTATTATCTGGGATAGGTTGTATATTCTTTTTAGTAGTTTTATTCTTACATGCATGACTCTTTGTAAGCTTGCCGCTCCATGATATCATACTCACAATGGAGTTACTATTATCAAAATGTCGTATATTTCATTCGGTTTTTGTAATATCAAAGTGTTAGTAAAAAAACAATGGATAACATCCTTGGTATCAGCTAAATAAATACTTTTTCTACATTCAGCTATTAAGACCCATCTCCTCTGTTGGGTAGCTGGGTAACTGGACATATATTCTTTAGGATCATTTCAAAGAGGTCTTGTGAAATTCTATTACCAGAATCAGCATTGTACTTATCATTAGACCTCGTCCATTTTCCTGGTCGGATACCATGCACCGGCAGTGGAAGTTTGAAAGATCAAGCCATGGACTTTAGCACTATTCACATCACGTGAGGGACTGGATGTTCATTGAGTTGCAACTGCATCAGTTTTGGTACATAACGGTTCATGGAGCCGTCCTACATAGATGTGTGAACTGCAGATTTGTGTCCCACTACGAATTGAAACTGTATTATTTGCTACTCATGATTCTGGGCACAGGCACATGACATGTAACGGCTTCTGAGCTTTCATGCATAGATTCTTAACCTTATATGCTCTGTTGCATTTTCACAAACACCTGCACGAAACCATCATAAGCTGATATTTCTATAATTTTCCACTCTGAGATCAGGTAGGACTTTCATTTTTTATGTTGAATTTCTTTAAAAGTTTGCATATTGGCCAAGGTGTTTGACATTTTTTATTTGTATCCATCTTGTGTTATTTTTTTGTAAGCAACTATGGTTCCTGACTAATCATAATAAAGACGGGCTAAGTAGAATCACGCTGGTTCAGTAGAATCATGTAAAAGGATGTGTAGAGTGAGTATTTAGCTGCATTTCCCCCCATTGAGACATGTAGAATAAAACTCGAGTTTAATGAAAAAGCAGATTTGATTTCTCAGGTGCTGGTTATTAAAAGCCTAACAGGTACACCATCCAGGAATTTAGCTCCTGTCTTCTTTCTCCTGCATGTGCAGTTAATGTGCATGTATTCAGGAAGGGAGGTTTTTTTTTTCCTTTTTTTCCTTTTTTTCCTTCCTGGTTTATAATAAAATAAAAAGTCTTAATTAAAGCAGTTAATATTTTCAAACATTTCACACAAAAGTACAGAAAACTACATTCATGCATGTACGTGCTTTTGCACATCAACATTAGGGGGGGTTAGTCACCTAGAACTTAAAATTAGAACTGGGATAATCTGTGGGATAAAATTTTAAGGTGTTAGTCACATAGAACTAAACCTAGAACAAAATTTTAAGGTGTTAGTCACATAGAACTAAAACTAGAATAAAATTTTACAGTGTTAGTCAAGCAGAACTTTAACAAAACTAGAATTGGGATAATTGTACAAAATTATCCCACTTTTTTTATTTTTCTATACAAAAATGAGAGTTCTAGTCTCTCAAATTATTCCAAGTTTTAGCTTGGAACTATGTGGTAAAAAACTAGAACTCGTATTTATTTTGTTATTTTTTATTTTTTTCTTTACTTATTTCCTATTATGGTTATCACCATCATTAAACCATCATCATAATAATAATTGTCAATATCTTATAGTCTAACCAAAAGTTATTTAATAGTAACGAACATTCTTGTAAGAAATTATCAATTAATAATAGTAAGTTTAAAATACATAAATAGTATTTATATCTTCAAAATGCATAAATATATACTTCATGATTATAAAAATTTATCCCACGTTATTTTATCAAAATATCCTGCTTCACAAAATTGTTCCTAGTTATCCCACTAAAATATCCCACTAGCGAAATATTATTCCACTTTAACAATTATCCCATTTTGCATGAAAATGTGCCAATTGACTAACACCCCCTAGGAGAATGTTAGTGTATAACTATGAAGTACGAATAATTTGAACACTAAATGATTAGTAGATAAATATTAGTAGATAAATATCTTAATGTCAGAATATTAACAAAATGAATTCAATATTTACAGTAAGCAATGGCGCTAACATAGGATGAAGATGGGAGGTAATATTCTGACTTTTGTTATGCCGAAAAGTTCGGTAATATATTTAAATTTTAACCTTACATCTCAACGAGCCTCCATTGGCCTTGGGGAAAGCTGACCAATCATTATGGGAAGATCTGGTCACAACAAGTAGTGAGCAAATTTTTTGTTTCGTCTTCTGGACATTATCTTAGACTTTTCCTCCTTGTTTCTTCGTTTTGTTAGAATCAGCAAATTTTCTATTGCACCTTCTAGCCATCTTAAGCTAGGTTTTTCCTCTTTTTCTCACCATTGTCCGTCCTTTAAGTCAGTCTCATTCTCTGACCCTTCACAATAATGTTGTACATCCTTTTTGAAGAGCCCCTTTGTATTTTGGACAATGATAATTGTACTCCATGCCCCAAATGATTTTTGCACTAGAATTTATGAGCTACCAAGGACCCCATACTTTTGTTTCCTACAGTACAAATGCGCTTTGTGGCTTGTCGAACAATTATCTTTTCCCCTTTTTTGGGATATTTATTGTACATAAATTGCATTATTAAAAAAATACTCATGAATTATGTGAAGGAAATAGATTGTGTATGTGATAGATTGTGTAGGTTGTCACGCCTCGGGCCCACGGGCCCGTTGGCACGTGTAAGCTGTGGGACCCACCAAGAGCAGCTCGATGTTGGCTTAAATCTACCATCAAAATACTAGCACTAGTTGTTCTTGGGTCTTGGGTTTTTTTATTTAAGCCACTAACATTTTTTCACACTAGTCCATGTGGGACTAAAGTGGGCGTGTTATAATCACCCCATCTTACAAAGACGACGTCCTGATCGTCATGACATGACAATTGGCACATCCCAGTATCACTGTCAGGCTATGTTACCTAAACTCGGGTACAAGTATCCAATACTGGTGCGGATCTGAGTGTTCGATACGAAATTTTTGAAAATTTTGGATAAGGGGATACTGTCCTAAATTTCGACACGGGTACGGGGATACACTTTTAATAATAGTTTAATTTATTTAATGAAGTACAACGGGATACACTTTTAATAATAGTTTAATTTATTTAATGAAGTACAACTAATTAAATTCCATTCCTCTATCCCGTATACACTTTTACTTGCTTCAAAATTTATTTAATGAAGTACAACTAATTAAATTCCATTCCTCTATCCCGTATACACTTTTACTTGCTTCAAATATTTATTGTAAAACCCAAACCCAAACCCAAAAACCCAAACCCAAAAACCCAAAACCCAAACCCAAAACCCAAACCCAAAACCCAAAACATAAAACCCAAACTAAAGTAAACTATGTAACCCTAATTTTCACTCACCCGACGCCGCCACGAAATTTCCATCGACCCGTTCTGTTCCTCGTCGAAGCTTGAACTCGTCGAAGCCTCACGGATCCTCATCTTCGATCTCGTCTTCAACTTCCGAGCTCGCCTTCAACGTCTGTCGAACAGTCGAAGCTTCGTCTTCAACCTCCGAGCTTCGTCTTCAACCTCCGAGCTCGTTTTCAACCTCCGTTCTGTTCCTCGTCGAAGCTCGAACTCGCCAAAGTCACCTCTGCCTCCTCCATCGACGATGAGGAGCCATCTCCTCCCCCTCCTTCGTCGACGACGAGCAGCCGCAGCCCCCGCCGCCTCCTCCTTCGTCCGTATCCGAGTGCCAACCACCGTATCCGACCTGTATTTCGTACCCGGATCGGTGTCGGGTCGTATTGACACCGGTACGACTATCAAACCGTCGTGTCCGAGTAACGTAGCTGTCAGGCGATGTGGAGGTGATGCGGACTCTAAAGGTGGCTCTCACCGCATTCACACGGTGTAGCACTTAGCTCCACACTTCCGGCTGGCGACTGCTCTGATACCATTTTTGTTATGCCCTGGGCCCACGGGCCCGTTGACACGTGCAAGCCGTGGGACCCACCAAGAGCAACTCAATGTTGGCTTAAATTCACCGTCAAAATGCTAGCACTAGTTTTTGGGCCTTGGGCTTCTTTATTTAAGGCACTAACATTTCTTCACACTAGTCCATGTGAGACTAAAGTGGGGGTGTCACAATATATATTTCACGGGCCCGTTGGCACGTGCAAGATGTGAGACTCACCAAGGGCAACTCAATGTTGGTTTAAGTCCACCGTCAAAATGTTAGCACTAGTTATTTTTGGGCATTAGGCTTCTCTATTTAAGTCACTAATATTTCTTCGCACTAGTCCATGTAGGATTAAAGTGGGGGTGTCACATAGGTGGCCCTGTCCTAAATGAAAATTAGGTGTCTCTAGCAGGCTGAGGCAGATACTATGGTGTCTGCATGAATGCAGTATGGTTTTTGTGAACAGCTGGGTATGTGGTACTTGATGGGCTTAGTGCTTAACGGGGTTGTGTAAGAGGCACGACTAGTGGATAAGC